AGCATTGAGATGCTCTGCCTATCTCTGGGGTGTGGCAACCCTGGGGAAGGTTGCCGGTGAAATCAGAATGAATGGTTAAGGATGGTGTAAAAAGTGACATGAGTCAAGATGTTACGCTAAATAAGTGCCAGCTGGATTTGGAAAATTTGGATTTGGAAAAGTTGAATGAAACGAGACAGCTTATGAGTTAATACTCCTAAGTCACCCCGGTCTGATCCAGCTCTTCCGGCACAATTAGGCGTTTGGTGCGGTTTGTGGAATTGACAATCGTGGTGATGTGTTGGTTGTCGAATATGTCGTTGACAGAGAGGTAGTAGTCCTGGAAATATTGACCTCTTATTTGGGGCAATAGCCGGACACTGTCCAAGAAAGTGTGAGACAGTTTCCTCTTCGTCGCCGCACATAGGACAAGCACTGGTGTTTGATTTGTATATGGTGTGAAGGTGTTTGTTTAAGCCGCAGTGACCCGTGATGAGGTGAACTGCAGTTCTGTAATCTTGCCTGTTGTTGCTGAGTGTAGTGTTGAGGTTTTTGATGATTTTGGCGTGCTTGTGGTCGAGTGTCAGTTTGGTGTATCTGGGACCATCAGTTATCCAAGTTTCCTGATTCAGTCTGTTGACTTTGTTGTCGATTTGACGTTTGATGTAGGATTGTGGAATTGCACACTTTAAAGTTGATTCACTGGTTGATGCCGGCGTAGTTGCACTTGCAGGTCAGTACAGTAATTGTCATCAGTCATGGTAACATGATTTCATGGCAATCTGTCGTCCTGGTGACCCGTCGTCTTGACTATGTGACGTCATAGCAGCTGGTTGTTAGCCTGTCGTCTTCGCTATATAGCTGTCATGGTAACTTGTCGTCATCGCATCTTTTCGTCATGGCAACCCTTCAACCGGTCTTCTTGGCTATATGTTGTCATGACTCATGTTAACATTTCATCTCGGTAACCAGGTAACTTGTCGTCTCGGTAGCCTATTTTCCTTTTATTTTGTTGCCATTGTTATTGTAACTCGTCATCATGGTGACCTGATGTCATTGATAAACTGTTGTTATGGTAACTTGTTTTCGCACTACCATAACAGGTTCTAGAACCTTCTATTCGTCTCCAGACGCGCGGAGACACGTGTCAGCTGCTCGTTATTGGACTGAGTTAGCATGGTAACTGAGAATGCACTCAGAGAACACGGGTGTCTCACATAGCTGCAAATTGTTAGAATTGCTAACCATATTACAGCCGTCACGTCTGGTGTGTAGTCACGTATGGTACGTGGATTTGAAATGTCTTCCAGAATGTAGCTGCCGTTACTGACGTTTGAAGTTTTCTTTACGTGGCTTCTCCAGACTTTAACTTTTACACTCTTGTAGTATTGACGCTGACAAACTAAGAATTAAGTAGCTGTGATTCTTCAACCGATCAGATAGAACCTGGTTGTAGTTTTTAAATGCCTCTACGATATTGCTAACATTCTGTAGTATTAGGGCCCTAAAAGCCTAAAGACCCTCAGTGAGCAGGGAAGCAGCTCAGTTTATCCATGACGACGTGTACCTACAGTCCTGTATCCATGACGACGTGTACCTACAGTCCTGTATCCATGACGACATGTACCTACAGTCCTGTATCCATGACGACGTGTACCTACAGTCCTGTATCCATGACGACGTGTACCTACAGTCCTGTATCCATGACGACGTGTACCTACAGTCCTGTATCCATGACGACGTGTACCTACAGTCCTGTATCCATGATAACATGTACCAACAGTCCTGTATCCATGATAACATGTACCTACAGTCCTGTATCCATGACAACATGTACCTACAGTCCTGTATCCATGATAACGTGTACCTACAGTCCTGTATCCATGACAACGTGTACCTACAGTCCTGTATCCATGACGACGTGTACCTACAGTCCTGTATCCATGACGACGTGTACCTACAGTCCTGTATCCATGACGACGTTTACCTACAGTCCTGTATCCATGATAACATGTACCTACAGTCCTGTATCCATGATAACGTGTACCTACAGTCCTGTATCCATGATAACATGTACCTACAGTCCTGTATCCATGACGACGTGTACCTACAGTCCTGTATCCATGATAACATGTACCAACAGTCCTGTATCCATGATAACATGTACCTACAGTCCTGTAACCATGATAACATGTACCTACAGTCCTGTATCCATGATAACATGTACCAACAGTCCTGTATCCATGATAACATGTACCTACAGTCCTGTATCCATGACGACGTGTACCTACAGTCCTGTATCCATGACGACGTGTACCTACAGTCCTGTATCCATGATAACATGTACCTACAGTCCTGTATCCATGATAACATGTACCTACAGTCCTGTATCCATGATAACATGTACCTACAGTCCTGTATCCATGATAACATGTACCTACAGTCCTGTATCCATGATAACATGTACCTACAGTCCTGTATCCATGATAACATGTACCAACAGTCCTGTATCCATGACGACGTGTACCTACAGTCCTGTATCCATGATAACATGTACCTACAGTCCTGTATCCATGACGACGTGTACCTACAGTCCTGTATCCATGATAACATGTACCTACAGTCCTGTATCCATGACGACGTGTACCTACAGTCCTGTATCCATGACGACGTGTATCTACAGTCCTGTATCCATGACGACGTGTACCTACAGTCCTGTATCCATGATAACATGTACCTACAGTCCTGTATCCATGATAACATGTACCTACAGTCCTGTATCCATGATAACATGTACCTACAGTCCTGTATCCATGATAACATGTACCTACAGTCCTGTATCCATGACGACGTGTACCTACAGTCCTGTATCCATGACGACGTGTACCTACAGTCCTGTATCCATGACGACGTGTACCTACAGTCCTGTATCCATGATAACGTGTACCTACAGTCCTGTATCCATGACGACGTGTACCTACAGTCCTGTATCCATGACAACATGTACCTACAGTCCTGTATCCATGACAACGTGTACCTACAGTCCTGTATCCATGACGACGTGTACCTACAGTCATGTATGGTACATGGTACGTTTCCAAGGTTTCCATGTTATTGTCAGGAGCGGGGTTCGTTCAGTTTACTCCGTTTTCTGGCCTCTACTAACTAGTCCTTAGAAGGCTAAGGACTTCATGACTTTGCTTTTAACCTGGTTGCTTTCTCAGTCCTCCCACCCGGGGGTCCACTCCACGTAGTCACATACCTTTTCACGCCCCCGGTTTTCCTGCCTACTTGATAACTTATTGAAATAACTATATGAAGCTAGTAGTTACAGTGCCAGATTTAGTTTTATTAGCAGCTATAGAAGCTTACAAGCTAAATCGTGGAGCCGCGTGGTTGTGAACTAATTGGGATTCCGGAGAGGACCTTAGTGGAAGTAGGTGTGAAGTTGGAATGTCATTGCGTTGCTAAGGTTGTGACCATGGTGATGACACAGCTGCACAGCTGCAGTCTATTGGAACTACTCGGGTTATGTCACATCGTCTAACTCTCACGGTTTAAAAGCACCTAAAAGCACCTGCTATTACCGAGGTGGCATACTGTTACTGACTGTAACTTGCCATCTTGCACTCTCTCGGAGATACCCGTTTGAATATTTTAACTGTACATAACTTGGACAATATATCCAATATATCAATATATATAATATCCGTGTTACTTTGCGGGGATGCTTCATCAAACTTTGGTTGTTGTTAGAGACTTTAGCTGTGGGCTGATCAAGTTGTGAAGGTGTACAACTTGTTAAAGTATCTTGTGTTGCTGCCTGACATCTACTTTTATACTAGTCATATAATTACTCCGCAAACTGCATTGTTGCAACTGATAATGTGTGTTGTGGGTTTTATGCAGTTCCTCGGCCAATTGGTACCTGATTATACGTATAATTTCTTTGTGATTGACCGGTTTTGTAAAAATAGTCCCGCCTGAACGTAAAAATGTGATATTGTAGTTGTACAAGTGCTGCTGAGGCCTGACTGCAACGGACCTAATTTCAACAAATTCTCCGGATATCGACAGAGGCCAAGAGTTCTGTAGAATTTAATTAACTAAGTTAAACAATTTTGAATGGTACAGATTTTTGCAGTTCGACTTTAAAGCGCCTTAAGCTAGTAAGTAAGTTTAAAAGTTACAATTTTCTAGCGACATTTCTGAGCTCTGACAGTGTCTATCATCAACTTCAACTTCATTTTTAATAAGAACGTTTTTAGTTTTTCATTAAAGTTCACTTTCACGGTTTGAGTTTAATAGCGGCTTTACAAGAAACTAAGTTATTTTCTTAAAGTTGTTTGTTATGCATTTCATAAAGGACTTCATTAAAAGCATCCTTATTCCGTCTTAAAGACCTGTTTAACTCAGACAGTCTAAAATCGCACAGACTTCTTTAAATCAAACGAACGACTCGTAGTTCATAAAATAACTTCATAAAAATGCGACTTGCTTTTATTTTTATCAGCTCTTAACAGCACGATGTTTTGGAACTTTGCTACAATCAAGTTGCCATGACAATAAGTCTGCCCGAATTGTCTCAATTAGTTGCCACGTATTATTTTCCGACCTCGGTTTAAGGAAAAGCATAATACACCATGTCTAGCATTTTAATGAAACTAATAAAAAAATGCATAAATTTTAGTCAACTTCCCGCAACTTCCCGCTGTTGAATAATTAATAAAGTAATAAGTAAGCAGACCGGATCTGAACGTTCGAGCAAAATAACACCAAGACACATAATAATGAGCTGTTACCAAAAATTGCAGATTTTTTGATAGGTTTTTCAGCTTTATTTTCCAACTACTTGTTAGTTTCACAGTGTTGTTTTGTTATTTCCTTTCATCTTCATTCCTTTTTCTTGTACATAAGCAAGAGCATGAAGATAAAACAAAGATTATTATCGGGGGAAGTTGGTAGGTTGTACCAGCTATCTTCTGTTCCAGTTTTGTAATTTATCATCTAATTCACCTTATAGGGTAGTATCGTTGGGGGCTACATGCCGTTACCATAGCGACATTTGCACGTGCAGTTGAAGAAAGTGTAGATCACAGGGCGAGGTAACCATGGCATCACGACACTACAAATCATGGGACTCAACTAGTTACATTGGCTACGTACCCAGCTATTCTTACAGAAAGGCACCTGCAGAAGAACGGGAACATACCTACTACAATCCATATACTTCCTACAAATCTTACTATAGGTCTTACAGGTGAGTACCACTCCGAGATTAGTAGCACTTTTGTGCAAGGTGTTGTGTGATAATTTTGCTAATTATATGCCCTACCTTATATACTGATGACCATTTAAATAGATATTTTAATGGTTAAACTGGCTCAGGAGAAACAAATAGAATCCTTTTTCCATCGCCATATCGTGCACTCATATTTTAACCTAAGGCTCTATAACCTATAAGGCTCTATAACCTATAAAGCTATAAGGTTCTATAACCTAGAAAACTCTAAAGTGAAGGTGGTATTTCTCCTAGGTCTTTAATCCTAATGTGATACTTTTTCAAGTGAACATTCTTTGTTGTAACGTCAAGACAACTAAAACTACCCACAACATTTTCCGTTGGAATATCCCGCCGTTTGCAATTAACACTGTCCCATACAATAACGAACCTTGTTAACATTACTGAACCTTGTTAGTTGTTACTTTGTTAACTTTACTCAATAGTTAAGATAGAACAAATCTTAAAATGTTAAGGCGAATAGACGTAGCCTTCATACTTTTAAAAACACAATTTTAATTTAAAATTGGCCAGCAAAATACGATTATAGTTTTAGAAGTACAATGTTTAAGAAATAATGGTCCTTTTAAAGACCACTAAATTCTATCCCAGGAGTTTAGAGGACAGTGGTGCACGTGTATACCCAAGTACAGGGACCTACGGGTCCAAGTTTAACTTTGTAACGGGGAGATACTCTACTGATAACAGACATACCCGCCTCCGAGATGCAGAGGAACCCAGTAAGTTACTGAGTATTTACAGGGTTATAAGTTGCCTTGCCTACCTTGCCTAGGTCGGTCCAGATGAAATCTGGAACGAGTTTAAAAAAGTTAAGGTTATAAGTTAAGGTAACTAAATTATTAGGCAATTATTAGGATGAAAACGTAAGGTAAATAAAATATATAATTAAGAAAATATAGGGTAAACATCTATGTGTAGTAAACGAAACATAAGGTAAACATTAAGTAACAATAATTTCGCCGCCGAGAACTTGAAAACAAGCCAACATTCAAGTTGAATGATTTAACAAGAATAACATTTTAACATAACCTGAAATCCCGCATGCTCGAACCAAAAACAGGCGACGGCACGCAATGAACTATGGCGAAATATCAAATCCACGGCACACTATGAATTTTTACGCCAGTTTGACGCCAGAAATGTTATATCTACTAGATGCCAGTCAGGCTCAAATTAGAACAGGATGGTTAGGTGCCAGTAAATACGTGCTTCGTATCAGCAGGGTATTAGTATTATGTGAATATCTAATAATAAATAACCGAATACCTGAAAAATATTTCAAATACTAATCATATAACAGCCACGCCGGCACGGGGATATTCGGAAGAACGGATTTAATCACACTGTTATATTATATAACAGTTTATATGTAAATGATATGTAATGAACTATGGAACTATGGAGTAAGTAAGTATACTAAGAGTATAAAGTGAATAAGGGTTTTTACAGCCCGTTCTTACAGACAACTGACGTTGAAAATACAAATTGCCGATCCTGCTGTCTCAACCAAATATCTAATTAACCATTTAATATGATCTAGCGAGCAATAATTAATGGAAAATTAGAGCAAATTTTGATTCAGGGCAACATATTCGATCTTAATATCATTCATAAAGCAGCTGATGAAGAGTTGAAATTAGCCTGATTTCATTGCAGAAATATCATGTCTCTTTTCTAGATTTACAGAGATAATTCTGAACGATGTTAAAAACAAATGGTATATATAGCACAGGTGGGACAGGCCACAGAAAAATGAAACAAAACACAAGTAACCGAAAATATTTGAGCACAAAAATTTTGATATGGTAAATCTCCTAAGCAGTTAGTAAATGTGGTACGATGTGGACTTCTTATTCAAAATTACAATTTCATTTAAATAGGCTAAATATGTTAAATTATCCACTTTATTACTTGAATATATCCCATATTCCGGTCAAGTTTTAACAGAACAATAAGGGTCAGCCTCTCCGCAGTCTGTCCTTACACTCAGATCTCTGATTGGTTGGTTTGAGTCACGTGACCAGAACATTGATCTTTAATTGGCTGGTGTATGTCAGGTGACTAGAATAAAGCTTTGTGATTGGTTCAAGTTTGTGATGACATCGCGGCACGACGTGAAGTTGCGAGAGAGCTACAATGTTGCAGTTATCAACACAATAATAACTTATAATAGTTCTTGGCTAATTCGCAAAGCAGTCAGCAAATGAAGGCTGTTAATAGATATTTGATTTGGTGAAGGAGCTGACATAGCTGTCATTGTTAGGTCTGATGATCGAATTAATAGCATGTCTTATGAGATTAGTGTGCCAAAACTATTTCATATTTATGTTCTTAATTCTCAGACTAGATTCTAGACTCAAAGAGATCACTCATTATTTCGGAGCCCTTCTGCCATAAGTTCGCCAGCGAACATTTTGTTTGCATGGCTCAACGACATATCACATAAGTTTCAAATTCTGCATTCTGCAAACTAATTGCAACATTATCAATTCAAGGGTTGCAACGAAAATCCAAACTTTTCTTTTTGCTATTTTTAACTCTCTCGGTGACAAATATCGAAACTTTTTCAAATAACTGGCAAATTATGTGTTGACTGCAGTGAACTTTAGCATTAATTGAAGTGGGTCAGTCGGTAAATACGGCCCAGAGGTTGCGAGTTGGAATCCCAGTCTGGCCGGAATCTCAACCTGAAAAGCAGCCGTCTCTTACCAAACCATGATGTGAAAAGAAGAGGTTCTCGCTAGGACTTCGAATGTTTCCCAGATGCATACGCTTCATGGGAGTGCGTCTCGACTGTGATTCAGTAAAATATGTACCGATAGAACCGTCACCGTAAGGAAAACTTACTAGGTTCATCCCACTCATTCACTCAAACAACAAAGATTGTCTGCAAAGTGCAAACACAGATATAATTAATATTATGACAAGAAGTACGTTCTGGAATCTTGACAATATCGCTAAACTAAACAACTAAACTTACAACTCTCTAGTTTTGATTAAATACACTTAGAAAGTAACTAACTAACTATTAACTAACTAACTAAGTAACTAACTTACTATTAAGTAAGTAACTAACTATTAACTAACTAACTAAGTAACTAACTTACTATTAACTAAGTAACTAAGTAACTAACTTACTATTAACTAACTAACTAAGTAACTAACTTACTATTAACTAGGTAACTAAGTAACTAACTTACTATTAACTGACTAACTAACTTACTAACCAACTAACTATTAACTAACTAACTAAGTAACTAACTTACTATTAACTAAGTAACTAAGTAACTAACTTACTATTAACTAACTAACTAAGTAACTAACTTACTATTAACTAAGTAACTAAGTAACTGACTTACTATTAACTAACTAACTAACTAACTTACTAACTAACTAACTATTAACTAACTTACTATTAACTAACTAACTAAATATTAACTAACTAACTAAGTAACTAACTTACTATTAACTAACTAACTAAGTAACTAACTAAGTTACTAAGTAACTAACTAACTAAGTAACTAACTAACTAAGTAACTAACTAACTAAGTAACTAACTAACTAAGTAACTAACTAAATAACTAACTTACTATTAACTAAGTAACTAACTAACTAACTAACTAACTAAGTAAATAACTTATTCCCCCTCCGCAGCGTACCACAAGGAGTTGACGGATATGCACCTGATGACGAGCAAGCTACAAGCTGATTACAGAGATATAATGGACAGATACAGCACTAACGGACGGTACAGGGGCAGTGGAGGTGGTCTCCCAGAGGGGTACGGTCCTCCCATATACTCCAGTAAGTTATCTTAGATCGGAATATGTATTAGCTCAGAGAGGGGGAGCTTACCAGCTCACAGCTTCCATTTAATTAATGGGAAATCTTAGTGTTTCTTTTCACGATTCTTAGGAGGAATCTTAGTGCTTTCAATGAGGAATCTTACACTAACTTATCGAGGAATCTGACACTGTTTCTAATTATCCAGTGAATATTCTTGAAGTGTTCCTATTATTGGCTCATTTAACTTGTGTAATAATGATATAATAACTTGAGTATAATAACTCTAAGAAAGTTTAGGAACTGAGTTAGAGTTTTAAAGGTTAGCAGAAGCGCAGGCTCCCAGTGAAACCCCCTCAAGTTAATCACGTGACTTACTCACGTGACACGTAATTTAATCACGTGACACTCGCTAAATTAAAACCCTGACAACCTCTGGCTTGACGGATTTTCCCTTCATCCCAACTCTAGCGGGCATCTCGCGCCAGTAAACGTTCTAGAACTTGCGTTTCTCAGCAGGGGATGTAGGCGGAAGCCTCACAAGTCCTGTAAACATGTAGGTTTTATGATGTACGAGTTCCGAAGCACAAATAAACCTGAGCTCTCAGACGAACTGAAAACTTTACAAATGACTTCGACTGCAGCTGCAAAATTGTGGCTTCAGTTACTTAGAATATTTAAAATATACTTTTAATAGTTCAACGAATCGATATTTCAAATTTTCTGCAGAGTTTGGTAACAGAGACTTTGAATTGATGAACTTTCAGGTTTCAAGTTAAGGTTATAGAACCTTTAAACCTTTAAAGTTATACTAACTTTTTTTAAAATACTTCTATTAACATAATATTATTTATTACTTTGCCAATTTGATGTGGTGAAAAGTTCTCGTCTGAGAGGCTGTGTCGAGTATTAGGATCCTTAAGCTCATATTATAGTCCATATTATATATTATATATTATATAATAGTCTATAATATGTAATAGTTCAGGATATTTAGTACAGAACATCGCCCATACTCGCGGACGTAGAAAATTCCATTCCATGTAGTCACCTTCTCCACACGGACTAAATGCTCGAGTCAGGGGAAGGTGGAGACTCATCAACTCTACACTTGACACCTACCACTAATTAGCCATCACGCAGAACATTCTGGAAGACAACAAGTGCACAATTCAGAGTCATGAGAACATTTCGTTACAAATATTGGAATTAGTTAATCCGTTACAAATAACGACAAACCTCCATTAACCGGACTTTCTCTAGGAGAAAAGGAAATATGCCCTGTTAACAGAGGTGGAGTTTATTTTATTAAACCCACTAGCCCAGTGCCTGGAACCACTTATCACCCTAGACCCACAGAAACTGCCCCCCCCCCCCCCCCCCCCCCCTTGGCCCCACTGACCACACATTTCTTCAGGACCAAACAGACTGCCCCCCCCCCCCCCTTGGCCCCACTGACCACACATTTCTTCAGGACCAGACAGACCGCCAGCCTCAGTAAGGTATGATGTCTACGATAGGAAATCTCGGTATGGGGGTATAAACTCGAGTAGACAGTATGACGCGGAGATCACTGATTACGAGCCGTATGTTCCAGAAAGCTACAACCGGGCAACTAAAGAACTCCGCCAGGGTGAGCTGTTGTGACCATATTTGGACATGACCATATTTGGACATGACCATATTTGGACATGACCATATTTGGACATGACCATATTTGGACATGACCATATTTGGACATGACCATATTTGGACATGACCATATTTGGACATGACCATATTTGGACATGACCATATTTGGACATGACCATATTTGGACATGACCATATTTGGAAATGAAAGTATTTGGAAATGTCAGTATTTGCCTATTTGCTGTGTGGGCAAGTTTTAACTCTTCTCTTTATATATAATCTCAAAGAATCATACCCATCAAGATCGTCACCACCTTAACACCAACATGAACTTATCTCAGGTAGCGAGGGTACCGTACTCAACAATAAAGAAATACACAAAGGAAGCTACGAAGTGCACGATACTGGACCTCCTACTGGAGAGGATATAGACCTGAAGGGATATGAAAATGTTGAAACTAAAAAGCCAGAGGAAGATATAGAGTGTTTAGACACACGTGACATCTCTGAAAATGTCAGCGGAGGAGGAGGGTTGAAGAAGAGTGCCAGTAGAGCCGCTGTAGATAGTGTATCCAGAGAGAAGGCTAGCGAGAAAGCAGCTTAATGCCCCCCCTGGAAGGAGAGTTTGACAGTGACGCTGAGGATCTGGAGGAGATCGGGGGTGCTGGTGATGAGGTGATGGGAATGATGGAAGATGAGGATCTCATGGAGGATGGAGAACTGGAGACTTTGGAAGAAGAGGAAGAGGAGATCCCTTATCGAGGTACCATTCCAAACCACCCTGTCACTTTAATATAAAATTATTTAATAATTATTTAAGAACCACAAATATCAAAGATTTGCGCCGTGAAGCCATCGCGAAATATAGATGGCGATGGCTTGATGATAACAAGCGTATTTCTTTTAAGAGCCAACCCCGGAGATCTGCGTCTACAACGAGATTAGCCAGGAGGACTGCGAGCAGATGCAGGAAGAGCAGAAACTAGAGGATGCGAAAGAGAAACCTCTCTTCGCCACTCCCCCCATACCAAGTGTCACCACACAGGTTCTTAAGGTTTGGACTTTGGTTTCTCTAGGAATGTTCGAGATAGTGAACCTAAGTCCTTCAGCTCACCTAAATCCAAACAGCTGTCCTACCAACATGCATTTGTATCCGTCATACAGGAATAAGTCATAATTATCTTCAATGTCTGGTTGTTTAAACTGCTGTAGACGAACCTCTATTCTAAACTACATGTCTGAAATTCTGATGGGGACGGAGATTATCGATGTATACTACTGAGATTGTACCATTAAAACACCATGTTTATAATCTACTAATCAACGAGCAAGCTCGGCTTCGAAGAGTGCATGTTATTTGAAAACTCATCGATGAGTGTGGCTACTATTTAAATGTATCACATTGAAAACTATTACAATAACTTGAGATTTTGAGCAACCCAAGAATAATGAACTATGACAAACCATTTACGCCTAACATTATCCTCTCACTTAGGTGGAGAAGACTGTAGCAACATTCAAAAATAATGGGGCTGCTGAGGTACCTCTGGATGATGTTGTAGTTGCACCAGCTGAAAAGCCCCAAACAGCAGAACTTGTAGATCCAGCAGCAGCAGCACCTGAAGCAGCACCTGAAGCAGCACCCGAAGCTGCACCTGAAGCTGCACCTGAAGCCGCACCTGAAGCTGCACCTGAAGCCGCACCTGAAGCAGCACCTGAAGCAGCACCCGAAGCTGCACCTGAAGCCGCACCTGAAGCTGCACCTGAAGCCGCACCTGAAGCAGCACCTGAAGCAGCACCCGAAGCTGCACCTGAAGCTGCACCTGAAGCTGCACCTGAAGCAGCACCTGAAGCAGCTCCTGAAGCAGCTCCTGAAGCAGCTCCTGAAGCTGCACCTGAAGCAGCACCTGAGGCAGTACCTGAAACGGCACCTGAAGCCGCACCTGAAGCTGCACCTGAAGCCGCACCTGAAGCAGCACCTGAAGCAGCACCCGAAGCTGCACCTGAAGCTGCACCTGAAGCTGCACCTGAAGCTGCACCTGAAGCAGCACCTGAAGCAGCACCCGAAGCTGCACCTGAAGCTGCACCTGAAGCTGCACCTGAAGCTGCACCTGAAGCTGCACCTGAAGCAGCACCTGAAGCAGCACCTGAAGCAGCTCCTGAATCAGCTCCCGCTACTGAGGAAGGTAATCAACATAAAACTTAAAAACTAGGATCACTATTCCAACATAAAACTAGGATCACTATTCCAACATAAAACTAGGATCACTATTCCAACATAAAGCTAGGATCACTATGCCAACATGAAACTAGGGTCACTATGCCAACATAAAACTAGGATCACTATGCCAACATAAAACTAGGGTCACTATGCCAACATAAAACTAGGATCACTATGCCAACATAAAACTAGGATCACTATGCCAACATAAAACTAGGATCACTATGCCAACATAAAACTAGGATCACTATGCCAACATAAAACTAGGGTCACTATGCCAACATAAAACTAGGGTCACTATGCCAACATAAAACTAGGGTCACTATGCCAACATAAAACTAGGGTCACTATGCCAACATAAAACTAGGATCACTATGCCAACATAAAACTAGGATCACTATGCCAACATAAAACTAGGGTCACTATGCCAACAATAACGTCGACTCCTAATGTTAGGAGTTAATTGTGACAGTTAATTGTTTAGTTTCCTTGGTCGGCAGTACTTTGAAACGCCCATCAGCCCTGTGTATCATCATCACCACAATATGTCAATTGTCACTAAAAGAATTAACGTAATAACTCATAACTAATAACTCGTAACTTAACTAATAACTAATAACTAATAACTAAAATAATAAATTCCTACCCCAGTTGCTCCTGACTCAGAGAGCGCCGCTGCACAAATCACTGAGAAGGACGAGGCCAGCAAGGTAATATAACAAGTTATAAAACTAATTAAAATCAGCTGACAAATCTTTATATATTGTGAAAGCGTTTAATTTAATAAAATTTAGCGTTTCCTTACCGCCAAATTTATGTAAATGGTATAACAGATTAGTTATCGGAACATCGTATCGTGACAGTTACAGATTTAATTCTGTTAACACGATTTATTTACAGTCGACTGTTGAAGCGGTTAGCGAAGAGGTCAAAGTGGAGGCAACAACTGCACCGAAGGAAGCAGTTAAAGAAGCAGTGAAAGAACCAAAGGTTTTTAAATTACAAGCCAAAATTTTGCAAAATATCGAAGAGAAATAATAAACACAATAAATTTAGTCGGACTGATTAAACTCAATGCTTAGTAAATTCATTTGTTCGTTGAAATACCACCAATCAGATTGGAAACACCTTTACTAATATATAATTAAAACTTATTACAGTAACTCTGATCACTATACCACTCTTAATAGATATTACGCAACTTTTAATAAACGCTAAACACTAGGTGGAAGCGAAGAAGCCAGCTGAAAAACCAAAGGTACCTGAGAAGAAATCTAAATTCGGGCAGTCAAAATTCGGTGACAAGAAGGCTCCAGAGGGCGCTCCAAAGAAGAAGAAGCTTTGGTAATTGGTAACCATGGTGATTTTAAAGTTTTAGTAGAGATAGAATAAGAACGCTTTTATATTAGAATGTAATTGGACATTAGTTTTCACAAAAAACTTCGATTAACTGAAATGAAAGCTACTATTATATGGCCATAAAGGAATGGTCTGTTGTACAGAGCCAAGAATGGCAGTTTTGAGTTGGTAACCATTGTAATTATGTTAACCTTATAGTACTGATACCTGACACTACGGCATTGATTTTATTGAAGAGTTTTTATAAGCACTTTTTTTTCTGTATAAATGAATTTGTTTTTTGAAATATTATCTCGGCAATTAGAATCGTGTTTTTTTATCAATGCTTAATTTCTTCAAATAAAAAAAAAACCTATATCGTAAACATATAAAACCAAAAAATGCAGTCACAGATAAAAGTTTTGTAAAATGGTTTCGATAGCAAAAAATTAATTTCTCATTTTCGAGCTTTGCAGCTTGAAATTTCCAAGCACTAATTTAAATGAAACCTCTGCAAGTAAGACTTCGGAAAGTAGTAAATAAAAGAAAGTGACTCTGAAATTAACTTATAGACAATAATAATATTTTGTGCGGCCAATAAAAATATCGTACAATAGTGGCATGCCACTAGTAATTATATAGTAATATAGTAAATATAAGACAAAATTTAGTAAAACAAGATTATGTAATATATACGTAACGAGAAAACTCGTGGTCACAGGGAGGTATTAAGCTAATAGATTATGTGACTGTCATTTTCTATCGCATTAAAAAATATCAATCAAAACCGAAAATACATCCGATTAAAATGTAAAATACACACTATACTACTATACTAGCTGAACCGACTAAAATACACACTGAACCGACTGAACACAAATCAATGTGTAATCACCACGAAAACGATCACTTAGTGTCGTTCCATTGATCCCTGCACGTGCATGTGCGCGTTCCACTATCATTTCTATGATAACTTCAAATTTTGGCCTAATTTGCAGTTTGCACGTGGGCGGTCATAAACGGATAAAACACGGGGACACCTTCGAATTATCAGTTCAAATTAAACAGTAAATTAGATCACTAATAACTTGCGAATATTGATTCTCAGTCTTAATCTTGCTGCTAAAAAAGCATTATATGATACCTTTTCTGAATTCTGATACTCACCAAAACAAGTAAAAATACTGTTGTCGAGTCTGGAACCCAAGGAAAATAACTAACGTAGAAGCCATTGAAATTGTTCTTGAAAAGGAGTGTCATCCACTGCATCATAGACTGTCAAAAATTGAATTATTGGGATCGCCGAAAGAAGCTGGACCTGCAGAGGCGAGGATGCGGCGGGAAATATATCTTGATCCACAAATGGCAGATAGTAAACTACCTTGCTCCGAACGACATCAAGATGCTATTCGAGGACAACCCTCAACATATATAGCATACATTATACATTATTCCGCCAAACAACGAATATTAGAGGCCATGACTGCACTCATTATATAAATTCCTTTGGGATGATTACAGAGAGACCATGGAACCTTCACCCTCGATAAGTGATCAGCCTAACGGACTAATTCTTGAAGATTGTCCCGATAATCCTCCAATAAAAGGACACACTAGTCACTACTTGTATCACCAATAACTTACAGTTATAATGGAATCTGTGAATAGATTTGAACCAGGAGGGATCGGAGGAGGAACTAGGTGAAGGTCCAGGAGTCCTGTAGGTATGATATTAAGTAGTAGGGGGAGGAAAATATAATAAACCTCGGGCCAGGAAGAGAGACAGAAAATTTTCCGAGAACACCGAATTTCTTATTGAATTATTTTATTATATATTTAGCTTTGTTTGGATATCCTTTTCCAGCTAACGAGTGTTTATTTTCCTTAGCGTCGCGTGAAATTTCTGCTGAAGTGTACGAAGTTATTAGTTAAAGGTAAAATAGTTGGTGAAGGCTGATAGGCTGGAAAATGTCTAACAAGGTTGCAGCAAGCACAAACAAACTTTCTTCAGATATCAGAGTAATCAGCTTGCTGATGGGGCAATTTGGGCTGCTATTGCTCGCTTGACGTAAATGGTTTCAGGCCATCCGTACAGTAAGCTGTTAGGCCTTGCGAACTAGAACCCTGAATCCTCTGCACCGTTACCAAAAATTGCATTATCTAGTGGACGGAATAGTTTAGGGCAGTTTTATTGGCTCTTCTATTCTTCTATTACAGTGGAACACTTTATTTTCGATGATTAATTTATTTTACGGTAAACTATAGCAAATTACAATTAATAAAATAATGCTGTTATTTCTTTTACATTTCCACCGCTTAATCTTGTGTTATAGCGTTATCTAATATTATCGAATTTTTTTTCTATCAGTAGAAGAAGCTGTTGAAATTGGACATTATAATACTGCTAAGAAATGCAACTGAATCATGATTAAACTAGCATGTTTACCAATTCACTATTAGTATTATAAAATATTTCTATATGTAAAATGTGGAGCGATACTTAACACGATACTTGAGCGATACTTAAGAAGTCGACTTACGACTTACTCGACTTAGGTCGGCTTCAACGTCCGAACAGAGATAGTTTTTTCCAAATCTGTATATCCAGCATGAGTTTGTTAATCTCCTTGCTGTCGACAAGCCCCGTGTCCTTCCGAAGGATATCAATATATGTGAGGTGTGGTCTTCCCCTTCGACGATGTCCTTGAAGGGGTTCCCAGAAGAGGAGTTGATGACTCAGAAGTTCTTCATGTCTGGCTAAACTTAAGAAGTACGGTTGTAATATTCCCGTATGAGATACATTTCAGTATCTTATCAGTTATCTGTGTACTTGCTAGCTGTCTAATGTAGCTAATGTAACAAATCATAAGATTGTGGGGTTGTCTTTTCTATTTCATAATGCTTTTGCCTTTTGGACACGAAGGGATGCTTTTGCCTTTTGGACACGAAGGGAAACACACAATTACGTAAGGCTTGAAATTTTCGTAAAAATACATCATTTGAGCCTCAAATTATTTGTAACACCCCTGTTCCATGCCCAATGAACGATGAACGAGGATGCACACGAGGATATGATTTCCATAATTTCGTCGAAATTTCATATAGGTATCCTCGCAGTGATCCTCGTGCGATCCTCGTGCGATCCTCGTGCGATCCTCGTGGGATCCTCGTGGATTCCTCGCGATGATGCTAGGGGGTGCACGATAAAAATAAACTTGCTCGGATTTTAAAAATTTTTGTACCACTGTTTTCTAGAGACTGTGAGAATTTTCACAATACCAAATTTGTCATACCTTTTTGGAAAGATCAGTGATTTATTCGAATTTCATCATCGTGCGATGAGGAGAAAACCCTCGCGATACCCTCGCGAGGATGGAAATGTCGAATAATTTCATCGCGAGGAAATGATCATCCTCGTGGGAAATTGTGCACGATGATGATTTACCCTCGCGAGGATGGGTATTTGCGCGAGGATTTGGAGGCAATATTCGACGAGTTTATGGAAATCGTATCCTCGTGCCCATCCTCGTTCATCGTTCATTGGGCATGGAACAGGGGTGTTATATAAGTATATAGTAGTGTTGAAAGTATTATTTCTTTTTTAATATCAGTCGCCAAACTCACCCTGTACATTTAAGCTGTGCAACTAAATGAAGAAGTTCTCAGGCGTGCTGGAATTAAGTCTATTGAAACTTTCATCGGTTCGGCTAGACTAAGGTGGTACCGGTACGGACACGTTGTCAGAATGCCAGGGACACGGTTTCCCAATTTTTTACTGGATTGGAAACAAAACTATGGAAAGAGGCTGAGAGGACGACCCCACAAAGGCTGGATGGCCTGTGTACTCGAGGATGCGGCTGACTTTACAGGTGTCAATAACATCAGCAGAGACGCAGTAAAACAGTTAGCTCTAAAACGAGTGGAATGGAGGAACATGTTATACCGTAGAAGAGATGTGTGTGATGCAGGCCACTCCAACGACTAGGAGGAGACGGAAGACCTCTTCATGTATGTATGTGCAACTAAAACGTAAATTTTATAAGAAATCGCATCAACAAAAAATCTTTGAATAGAGATCTACCAGATTTTCAAAGTACATGTAGTAACGAAAGATGGTAACCTCTTAAAAGCGGACACCAAACAGCTGCCAAACCAAAATTGCAGCAATTGCACTGTATTAATTTAAATAGTAATCTACATCAAAATTTATTAAATGTCAAGCTAAATTAGGCCTAGTTGTGCAATTCGTCTCCAGATTTCAAAACAATCCTCGAATCAGTGTTTTCAAAACAATCCGGCGACATTCCGGCATTTTTATACTGAATTTTATCAAGTGAATCTCGGTATATTTAAACTTAAAGTGATGAAAAGTTAAAAATGAAATAAAAGTTACAATGGGTAAATGCTATTGATCGATACACGATAATATTTTTTAAAGGACAAAATCTATTATTTATTTTTTAGTAAATCAGGATGATTACTGATCATGTTTTCGGTGACAAAATTGAGTAGGATTCCGATTAAGCTGAAATCTTCGGAATTTTGCAAATACGCAAAAAAAAAACAATTCGAGAAACAAAGAGAAGCAGAAACTTACGCTGTATAAGTATTTCTATCTAGACAATATGCAATTAAAATGTTTGTCTGTCTGGCTAGACAAAAGTTCCGACTTATCTAGACCAGAAATCGAAGTGCGAGTTTTTGTTTTCGAATCGAATTTACAAGGAATTAAACAAGAATTAAACAGGTATTAAACATCAAATGTTGGGATAGGTGATGTTGGCATTTAAAGAAATTAAAATGTTATGATGGGGCAAATTTGTATATAATTATAAGAGTTTTTGTCAATTCATGTGGATGCAATTGGTGAAATTGACCTCACTCAATAAAACGATCAGTTTAACGGATTCAACCTCATTACATTGACAACAACTCTAAATAAGGATTGAGATTATGAAACTGCCTACCAGTAGAATAAAAATAAAATATTAACAATATTACCTAAGTAAGTGTAAGGTCAATCAGCATATCAAGAATGTACCTGCTTACTACTTACATAGTTTAAACATAGCGTATAGTATATATAGTATGTGGTGATGTAAGTATCACTAGGGCAGCGGCGTTGGCACCTCTTCCCCTCAGACAATTTGGTGATCATTTACTGGGCGGCGCTCAGCCTGTCATTCCGCCGAATCTCTATTCGGTTTTATGTTTCTATTCTCTATTATGTTTATGAACATTATAGCCTGGGGTCCCCAGGTAAGGTGATCATGAAAGGTCCATTTCAGCTAATGATCTTTTCGTGAGGATCATGGTTCTGGACATATTCTTAGCGTTATCTGTCATTTTATTAGTATCTGACGAGATCTAGTTTACATTAGTGATGATTCAATGGTGAATGAGATTCTGACTTTGGTAATTGATTGGGCTACTAATAACGGGCTTAAATTAAATGCTAGCAAAACTAAATATATGATCTTTACAAATAAGAAAAATGAGGATATAAAAATCTACATGGGAGGTGAACGACTTAAGCAAAGTTATCACGAAAAGTTTCTTGACGTGATCATTGATACCAAGCTAAATTGGGCCCACCACATTAGACATTTAGCCACTAAAGTATCTAGAAACGCGGGCATTCTCTACAAACTCAAAGGCTCAGTACCTAACAAAGCACTCAAGTTGATATACAACAGCTTTGTTCAGTCTCACTTGTACTACTGCTGCACAGTTTGGGGAACAAGATCGCTAAACTCCGTTAAAAGAGTTTTTTCGGCCCAGAAAAAGGGCATTCGCGCTGCAGACAACCAATACCACCGCTATTTTTATGACAAAGATCTGAACAGTACACCTTCACACACAAAGGAAATTTTCAATAAACTAGAAGTATTAGCTTTACCGAACGTGATAGCTAAATGTATATTATGCTTAATGCACAAAGTTTATTCTAACACTGCACCACCAAATATTATAAGAATGTTCACTGTTTCAAACGTAAACGCACCTAGAAGAGAACCTGAGTTCTTTGCAGTACCATTTAACCGTTTATGTAATTCAGACAAGAGCATTTCTTACATTGGGCCTAAGTTATATAACAAAAGAGTCAACATTATTAACAAGGACATAAAATACGTCGCGACTTGCCTATACAAGACAAATTCCTAAATTCATTCAAGTCTACAGTCAGCAAGCATGTGCTTACTGCACAAGCACTTAACCCGGATGACAAGGACTGGAACAACTCAAATTTCGTACTTTTAGAAATTTAAATAATTTGGTACAACATACGTTGATCATAATAACGAGCAACAAAACTTTAAGTTTAACCTCATAACGAAAAATGACTATCTTCGAGCATTTTTTACAATGCTATCGCTACCGCGCAATTTCACTGTCATTTACAACTCTTAAAAGATAAAAATATCACCGCGCATTCTTCAGACCCTGTGTCGCTGTTCTAAATGTATGTCAAGAGATAAGAGTTGTTTAAAATTCTTAATAGTACTATTTAAATTTGCTAATAGTGTAATCATATTTTATACATTATTCATATTTTATACATTGTGTGCATATATTTATATTTGATTGTAATTAAAGATTTTAAGGCGTTAGTGCCGAGTAATGCCTTCGGGTAGTGCTCCTCAATCAATCAATCAATCATTTTTATTGGGCGGCGCTCAGCCTGCCATTTCGCCATATCTTCATCCGCCGTATCGCGTTTATGAACATAAAAGCCTGAGGTCCTCAGGTAAATGAATTAGTGTTTTATTTTCATCCTTACCCTCTCTAGTCTCTACTCTATTCACATTGTTACAACAAGCAGACTGCTATCTAACAAGGCTAGTAACAAGTTGGTGGTCCACAATTTATTAATCTAAGACTGGAATTCCTACGCATACGGCATACCTGTGACCACTTAAAGTCGACTAAAATTATAATTTTAGTCTTATAAGACACCAACAGAGACTTGAACTAAAAATTGAAGTCTTACAAATCCGTGAGGACAGTTGACAGTTGTGTAAAGGAAGTATCTACTGTCTATCCCATGAAACGCCAGTTACTGTCAATGTGTCTACTGTCTGTATATCCCTTAACTTTTGATCAGGGTTCAAGTAGTTTACTATGTTTCTTTTCCCTCTTAAAACGTTGCTGGTCTTACTCTTAGTATGGAAGATATTTTAAAACAAAACCGGGGGTTGCTTCTTAGTCTGGTTTTGAATGATAAAAGATTGTCTCGCCATTAATTAACAAATTGATTCTTCACTTATTAGCTAAATAGGTGATGAATGAAACTGCACTTCGCACATTTTCAGCTCCATCCTCTTCGTTAAACTTCGCTCTTATCTTCTGATGTTTAAAATCTCTTACTCATGGCTTGGTTGGTGTTTAGTCTCAACTCTGAAATCCATAGTCCATACCTATCTTGTTCCATCTAGAAACATCACGTTGTCATAGTAATGAAGATGTGATGTGTCTGTATTATAATGAGATAAGAGGGGCGATGTCACTGTCACTCTTTAGAAAATAAGTAGCAGAGGCAAGTAAAATAAACGATTCTTAATTATCTGTCGTTCTAGTTTATTTTAGATTTTTGGTCGCAGTACTAGTAACCATGAGGCATGGCCGGTATTTGTAGATCAAAACACTGACATGATAATTAAAAGGTATTTAGATCAATTCAAACAGTCAGTAAGAAGGTTGAAACCGGAATATTTTGATTTTATAGTCTGCAAATGTGGCTTTCCCATTCTTATGCGATTAATTAAATAAATCTCATATCATCACATCAAATTTTGCAAGCCGTGAATAAATGGTGTTATGCTATGGGATGTTCAATCCTGAGTATTTTGCCTCTCTTCGATTTTTGATCTGTCTAATGTCATCCTCTCCTCTGACAATAGATGAGTTAGACTTAAAGGGTAGCTGCGTGCTCGAATGATTGCATCTCCATAACTTTATTTCTTCTCCTTCCTTCTCAACCATTCGATGCTAATCTCTCTTCCACCCATAACGCATGAACATTGAACATCTGTATTCTGTATTTCGGTAAACAGTTCCTATCAGTGACTGCACCAACACCACTAATACAGGCTGCAGGCAGCAAGCTGTATAGTGGTGTTGGCTCCACACTGTCTACAAATCCAAGAAGACAGGAGACATCTGGTGGTAATTGGTAGAGTCTGTCTTAAATGCTTCTAGTCAAGGTGAGCGTTGTGTGATTAAAGCTGGTCATTGTCCGTTACAATGGAACAGTTAGACGTGAAGTGTGAACACAAGTTTTGCCGTTTTCCGACAATTGTGTCCCATTTTTTATTTGGATGTTTATCCAAACTTGTTTTTTAGTCGAGAACTATCACTGAGAACCATCAGAAACCATTGTTTAAAAACAATTGCCGACCACCAGGAAGAAGGAACCATTCCCCTGGTATGCCGAAATTGGCCAAACTGTTTTTCTTTAAAAAGGTGCTTCATAACGGCAAAGATTTAATTTCTTATTACAACCCCGATTTACCGTACAGTTTGGGGGAAAGGGAAATAGTACGGTCAATCAGGGTGCACGGTAAATCGAGGTTTTGATTTATGGGTTGACAAGCACTCTACTGAAGAATAAATAGGTAAAGTAAACAGCCTGACAAGTTTGCTTGACATCAGGGTCCTTCATTTCTAAGCTGTATAATGGTAAGGCCAAGGCCCAAGGGATTAGGTGATACCAAGCTACAAATTTAACATTTTATAAAAACGTTGGGGGAGGGAGGGTACGGTAAACCGGGGTACGGTTAATCAAGGTAGTAAATCGGGGTTTACTGTTAACTGTACTAAATGTTTTTCTCTTTTAGAGCCATTTGGAATAACCCGTTAGTCTGGTTGAGGTTTTAGTCTGAGCTCCAATTATTTTAATCGTC